TAAAGCAACAGACTCAATGAAGCTACTAGATTCCATCAAACAAACATTCCAATCCAGACACATGGTGAAACTAAGGCCAGAAAAAGCCATTTCTGTAGGAAGCAGGTACGGGAGAGCCTCTGACTGTGTCACCAGTCACCGAACTATCCTTCAGTACTAGCAAAACCACTTAACCTCTAGCCTACATGTTCTCTAACTGCATATGCGGTACAGGAATATGTGCACAACAGAGGGGCTGCTTTCAATTTCCCGGTCACTGTTATATGAAGACACAATTGAAGAGGCCATCCCAAATGGTATGCAAAGTCATGTCTTTATTTTTTTTGGCAGTATTTCACAATGAACAAGAAATTAGCTATGAACAAGAAATTAGCTAGACTTATCTGTAGAGCATTTGCCTAGCATGTGCAAGATCAAAGGTTCAATCTTCAGAATCTCCAAAAAAGGAATGATACAATTATCAAAATCAGTGTTTTAAATACCTAAAACCAATTCCCGCACTCAGACTGAGCTTTAAAAACCTTAGCATGAGCATTTTCCAAACATACATAGCCCATGGCCAGACAGCCCCTTTCCACTGTCCTTTGAGTGTCCCCTTCAAATAGAGTAAGTTATTTAATCAGTTATTGCTATTTTATCCATTATTCCATAGTGTTCCTCATTAAAAACAAACTTTTCTAGGAAGCAAATCCTGTGCATAACTATACTAAACGCATATTAATTTCTGTAAGAAATCAGAATCCAAACTTTTGGACTTCTTCCCCAATGCTTTCCACAGCAAAAGGTAACTTGGTTTTGAAGACAAGGAGTGAACTCTAGTTGTGAACAAGCAGACTGTACTTTCTTTTTACTAACACAAGATTCATTCTCCAAGCTGAGGTGGATGAGGCAGAGTACAGAACACTGGCAAACTATAAAGCAGACTTCAGGCCATTCTTTCAGAAACAGCAGGAGTCACAGGTGTGTGTGTGTGGGGGGGGGGGGGGTGATAGAAAGAGTAAGGTGTAAAATAAGAGCTTCCACAAGTCTCTCAGTCAGAGCACACGGAATGGCCTTGTGGCTTAATTTAAAAGCTGGGATTTTCCACGTAGTTTAAGAAAGAATTGGGAGATCCGAAATTTTTCTCGGGTGGAAATACAAAAACAAATTTAAAAAGCTGGCGAGTTGCAAAATAAAATTCTGTTTTATGGAAAGTTTCCTATCAGACAAAATCAAGAATTTTCGCCCAAGCATATGTATCCTAAAAAGTGTTCCTCCAAAAGGCCATCCGTTTCTGGATCCTGACGCCGTGTACAGGATAGGGCAGTGCTGCGAGTGGTAAACAGAAAGACGTCCAAGTTAACACAAAGGCAGAACCATGAAAGGCACGCATAGACAGACATAATGAAAGACAGCATGCTGAAGACTACGATGACAATAAAAACTGTGTGAGAGAGGGTGACAGTCTGTGATCACAAAATACCGTGTACACTGCACAACTGTAAAAATCCTACGCACGTCATTTAGAACATATAAGAACATCTAAGCCTTTAAAAGCCTGGCTCTCCTCACCACATTCTAGGAACACTGACTATCATTAGTTTACAACTTTTGCTGCCTCAAGCCACGGACTCAACAGTCATAGTCACAAGGCTCCTTGAGTATTTGTTTAGACTGTAACTTACATAACAAGTGATCAAGATTTTGGAGAACATATCAATTTAAAATTTGATCAAATGGCAATGTTTATCAGCAAATAAAATGTTCTGTCTGGGATTCTTTCTTCCTTTTTACAAAATTCTGAATCATAACATTCTGTTTTCATTGCTGGACAAGTACAGATTTCAAAACAATGAAACTAGAGACAGAAAATATGGATAGGACACCAGGTGTACCATGTTGGCAGAAGTCTTCATTGGAAAAAAGTAAATCAAGTCCTAAGTCAAAAGAAAAGGTGTCAGAGACCTATTCAAGGTATACCTTTTTAAAGGCTTAGTGAAGCATTGGAATGTATAACCAATAACACTCAGGTGCACGTGTTCTTCAGGATCCCTTCAAGTCATGCTCCACCCATGGGATTCAAGGTCTTGAGAACCACTATGCTCGAACACACATCAGGAGAAAGTACAGCACCTATATAGCCTTATACCAGAAAAGATTATCATCTTCTTCAAATCTTTCACAGCACTTGGACATTTCCAAATGTCCTTTCAAGAATGTTAAACTAGTGTCCAGACTCTTACAGAATAAACCACTAGTAATATCAAACTAAAGGTTTTTGAAGCCTGTATGCAATCATCAAAGGGCCGATAGATCTAGTGAGTGAGTTGTGGGATCACACATCAGGGCTGAGCTGTAGTGGTCTAATTGCAGCTAAGGACACCTACTCACGCTTCTTTCAAACTGCATTTCATGACATCAGACTGCTAGTCAAACAAGTCTGGTGCTACAAAGCAGGTTCCTGTTCTTTTCTTCAGAGACAGCTGTGAAACATCAGCAACATCCAAGGTACACGCTAGTCACTCATTCCATTTGTTCAAATACAACCACATGAAAAGCAAATTAATGATACTGCTTTAGAATAGACAAAGTTCAACTGTCTTGAGGATAAATTCAATACAATAAGCTAATTTATACAATTTTAAAATTTCCCTTAAAAAGTAATTTTAAAACCATAAGGGGAAAAGATTACATAAATAAAGGAAAGTTGCCCCACACAAAGAATCACTGTCAACTTGAGGTAAAAGGCTGTCCCATCACTTACTCCACCACTCTAAAGGTTATTAAGACTCTGGGGTGGGGGGTGGCAATGCACACTTTTAATCCCAGCACTTGGGAGGCAGAGGTAGCTCTCTGTGAGTTCCAAGGACAGTGAGGACCATGTAGAGACCCTGTCAGAAAAGAAGAAAGAAAACAAAAACAAACAAACAAAACAGACTCTACAGAGCAAATGGTACTTAGTTTATCAAAGTATAAAAAAATTCATGTTAAATGATTTAAACACTTTGAGAAATACAGGAAGTTACTTAAATTTCAAAATAAAGAGAATCTAGCCACACCTAAATAAGAAAACACAATTTAATCCAACAGTACCTTCTCCCAAGAATAAGAACTGTAACTAGCTTACCTGTTCTGTCTTGTAGATTCCATTACATGAGTTGAGAGAAGGAAACTACTCAGTGAACACCTGATATATGAAAGGGTGTTAAAAACTCCACACCCACAGTATCACAGCTATTTAGTTAAAATAGTTAATAATGTTAAAAAGTTTAAGATTTCAACTGGAATTTCATTTTTTCCCAAACAACCCCTTGAAGTTCAGAAGGGGCAAGGTCTCCCCACAGGTAAATATACCAGAAACACACATTAAAGTGCTGTGTTCTCAAAATGTTATCTGCGGCCCGAGAAGAGCTGCCCCAGGTCTCACTGCGTCTCCTCTAGTTCTAAGATGGCGTGCGCCTTTCTCACCACCTGGCTTTAACACGCATAGTGCAGCTTCCAGTTCTTTTCTGCCGTGAGATGCAAAGTCTAAATAGAAACGGCATGAGGATCTCAGCTTCTACTAAGCACGACACTGAAAAGGTGGCAAAACAATGTTTGTTTTCACTTTGGAAAAGTTATTTTACGCCAAATACCTAGGTTCACAAGCAACAGGACTATTACAACTATATTTAAAAGTTATGTTTGAGAAATTCCTCTGTACTGATTTGCAATATAACTCATGAAAAATTCAAGTTTCATAAACAAAAGTTCTTTGGGGGATTTTAACAGTTATAAAAACTATGAACATAAAATATGTTTCAGAAATGTTCCCAACTTTGTGACTGGCAAGAACGACTAGTAACAAAGCACCTCCCAGTAAGAGGTATCCTGTTTACGAAACACATTATTTTATGGAAGAAAATGACAACCTGTCCTCTGTTTTCAAAAGAATCTAAAATAAAACATTTCCTATTCATAAAAACGTTTTTAAACTCAACACAGTTTTTGCCACCCTAAAAGACAAATTCATTTCTGATCAAAGACAGAACAGGAAACGTGTTTCAAGCAGAAGGGTAAAGATCCTGGGCCCCGTCACTCCAAGCTCTGATCTTCACATGCTCAAGACAGTAACTAAACTAGAAGCAAAACAACTTAAGTCTAAAAGATTTGTAAGAGAAAGATCACGAGAGAGCTCACTTTAACACTGGAGCTATTCTGAATCTAAGTTTTTATATTCTGTTTATGAGCACTCACTAAAAGTCAGTAATACAGGTTTCCCCATTTAATTACAAATCTCAAGATCTACTAGAAAAAAAATAGTCTTTAAAACTATATTGATAACAACTGTTTAATTTCCTTAACAGATGTGAAGCCTGACGGACTGTTTGGGTAATGGCCTACAATTATATAGTCTAACTTTTGTACATATGAATTGATTTGAATCTAATACAATTTCAAACAGAAGTTAAAGACATTCAGATTCTCCTTCCGTGAAAGTATGTGAAGCCCCAAAATGTACAAAGAACTCAAGACTACGCCCAAGTGCTGCTGAGCCTGAGCAGTGGTAACCAGAGTCTCAGGGGCAGGGTGCTCAGAAAGGGCTGAGACTCGGGCATGTCATTTGTCAACTACATATAAATCACACCTTCTGCTAAGGAGGGCAGCAGACTGCAGCCCAAGTAAACACCCAGACTTAAGCATGACAGTAACAGCCACCACTGCAAATGCATCCAATATGAATAAAATGTCTGAGCAGACTGATGCTTACATCACCTAAAACATTCCTACAGGCATTACATACTGTGTATGCAATTTTAGCTTTTTGGAGGGCACAGAGTCATTACCAGATGTACTAATATCGCTGTCCTCTGGACTGGGCTGGCTATCCCAACAGCCCTTGGCAGTGCATGCTCTCCATCATCGCTTTGAACTCCTTTCTTTCATCAACACAAATATGCTATTGGCCAGTACATCCAATTATTAAACTCTTACATTCAAAGAAACATGTATGTTCTACATACAGAATCATGACTTAGGGGTGTTTTCAAAGCACTTTTTTAATGATTTCAGTTCTCTTAGTTGTGTTTCGTTTTGATGAGAGGGCCAGATTATCTTGGGATGAACAAGGCATTACTACATATAAATAATTAAACAAGTTCATTTGAATATTAACAAAAAGATAAACTAAACTTAGTATTGCTACCTTTTTACACAAAGTATTTCATCACTTTAAGGTAACATTGGGTTCCTGTTGCTTTACCCCAAAACAAACAAACGTTCTATAGATAGTTATCAGTCTGTCTAGAAAATGGGGGAGCAGGGAGAGGAGCTCAGGTGCCATCATGTCACAGTCAATGCATGTCTGCTTCCAATACATTCAACGACAATTAAAATGGAGAACAGAAAAAAAATAGTTAAAATAGGCCTTTTGCAGTCTGAGAATTCAAGATCTTTAAAAAATATTTGTAAATACACATACATGCAAATTCTCCATATTTACAAATTTCACAAAATTAAGAAGTTGCAGAGAAATCCCAAGTAGCATGGTGAATCTGACAAGCTACATTTAAATGCTTTTCTACTGTCACAGTCCTGAATATAGCAGTCCTAGTAGTTTTAATAAATTTTCTAAATGGCCTTTTAAAAAAAGTTAGTCACTAGAAGTCTTTAAGAATTCAAGATGTTCTCAATTCACTACTCATTATTTAAGGCCACTTTGGTAAAGGCATTGCAGCAAGAACACAAAAACAATAGCATATTTTCTAATATTTATTTTGTTCACCTGCAAACTGTAGCAAACATGATCAGCTTTATTCTGCAGACAGGTGTCCTCCACATCTTTAAAGAATTTAGCCGTGTATAAATAGAAGAGCTCTTCAGAAGGAAAAATTCAAGAATGAATAAAACCTTCCAATTTTGACTTTGAACTTTCCAGAAGCGATGCTTCAAATGATTTTAGTCATTCATTCCAAGATATATGACAGCACCTTAAAAGTGGCTGATCTATTTCCTCAGTAACATTTCTCACATAACAATGTGTTAAAGTTACAAATACTGATATGCACAAATAGCTAATTTCTAAGAAAAATATGTACAGTACTGCAGCATAATGAATGTGGGATCTGCAATAACTTAATATTTGCCAATTTTTAACATACATGATGCCGCTACCTTTTCCTGCCAATTCACAAGTGAAAAGTTGTTACTGAGCCCTCTGTTTTGCACGTATTACCTGGTGTTTAATACACAATGCAGGCTTTTGAAAGACTTCTCTCGTGTTTAAAGCTAAGATCAGTGAAACAAGACAACAGGGCAAGAGGCGGAGAGATGTAATATGATCACATAAAAGTTCGTTCCAGTACAGTGTCTATATAAGGCTATAAGAAAGGATTGGTTGATGAGCTTCCTGTTGGAAATTGTCCTGTTGGTGCACCAGTCTATTGGAAAAAACACACGGACAAAATAAACAGAAATGATGTTTGTAGAAGAGGAAAGCATTAAAATGTACTTAAATTTATAACTTCATTCAAACTTATATTACGAATTTTTTATTGACATCACTTATTCATCATTGTTGCTGTCAACAAAGTATAAATCACCTGCCACTTGTTACAGATACACTGTTTTTTCATATGGGCTCACTTCACATATGCAGAGCTTCAACAGTGCCTAAAAGGAGTACTTCTAAGTTCAAATTAAAAAACATCTTGTTCTTAAGACTCTTTTCCCTGAAATCCAATGGATTCTCCAAGTGTAATTCTGACTAGAGTGCATGCATTTCACATTATAAAATAGCTGATCTGCTGTCCATAAGTTCTTAGAGACATTCCAAGGGCCATACATAATCTATAACACCATATTAACAGAATACTAAGTTGTATGTAGGAATAGTCATATTGTTTTCTCTAGTTTAAACATAAAATATAACTTATTTTTAATGTATTTTAAAGCTGAAATTCACTCACCATAAAAGGATTACTAGACACTCCAGCAGCTGCAACTTGACCAAAAGGGGTTACCACAGGTTTTGTCTGTCCAAATGTTGCAAAACCTGCACCTTATTTAAAAAACAAAACAAAAACCCATCAGTTATAAGCTACATTGCCACCAAGAGACAGTCCTAGTTTTAGAAGTTTTATATAAATTCTTCCCAGATGGCAAACCGAAATGCAAAATTAGGTCTCATATCTTTTTGAACACCAAAGACAAGCATTCTATGGCATGTATCAAGAGCCTCAGAGCTCTGAGAACAATCTAACTCAGCTCAGAGTAGGTCACTGATCTTCAAGGAGTTAGCTGATTGATGATGGTATAAATATGAGAGGGGACATGTACACAAGTCAATGGATTCTACACAACACCACATGTATATCTTATGAAACAAGTTATCACTTATGACCATTCTATGCACTGTATTTCCTAACTACTATACAATGTCTGAGATCTGAGGACATTCTTGAAATGTATGGATTTCAAACTTCAGCAAGTAAGAAACTAGATAAGAATAAAGGCTGAAATCATCTCCTAGCCAGTTACAAAAAGAAGCTGCAAGGGCACCACTGTCACCGACTAAAGAGTGCTCATCTACAGCACATACCTACTAAAGAGTGCTCAT